ACTTATGCGGAAATTAAAAACAAAACATAAAAGGAACTTAGGGGGTGTTTGGTTTACATAACTAAGGTATAAGGTATGGGTTTGGAATGGTTTAAACCCATACCTTATGTTTGTTTTATGATTTTATGAGTTTCAAACCCATACCTCAAACCCCCAAGGTATGGGGTTTAGAAACCTTGGGGGGGGGGGAGGTGGGTTTGGCTCATTCCCATACATTTAGGCATTAAATAAAAGAAAAACATTGCATTTTATAATCATACCAAACATATGGTATTAAGAACCAAGTTTCAAACCCATACCACTATGGTTTCATTCCTGATTCCAACCCCTTACCAGTTTGCGAACCAAACGCCCCCTTAAGGAACACAACAAGATATTACAAGGAAACCTTCTAGGGCCTAACTGGATGTAAAACCTCGGTCCTTCTCGGGACTTTCAAACAAACTTCACTATAATAGGCAACTCTCCTAGTAAAATCTATTATTACATACCTTTCTTACAAGTTCCACCAAGGACACTTGCTACCATATCGGAACATATCCTACCCAACCTGAGACCCAGTCAGGTTCTCTCAGCACTACTCAAGTGCCTACACTTTGCTTCCTCACTGAAGCATACTATCATTGCTATCACTTGAACTTTAGAGAAGACACACGTACTACTCCACTCAAATGCAAATTGTCAAGAATTCACGAACTCCCCAAAAACCAATTACAACACAAAGACTCACTCTAATATATAAATGGAAAGCTACACATGAAACTCGAAATCAAAATTGTTTCGGGGTTTTCTGATGTCCTGCGGGAGAGTTACAATTCCGAGACTAGAACCGGACGCCTGTACCTGCAAAACAAACGGATGCTCCGGATGATTGGAGATCCGCCTCCGACGGTCAAGTTAGTACTTGCTTAAGGAGTAATTAATGCGGAAATTAAAGTGATTGGGTCTCTCTAGGTGAGAGTGTTTAATGTGCGTAATCTCCCTTAATGAGGATTAAGGGAGGTATTTATAACCTCGGAAAACGTGCCAATCCTAGGTTTAGGTTAACCTTGGGCTGATTGGGCTTCCCTCGGAAGTTGGGCCTAGGTGGCCGGCTTCTCCATTAGGCATGGAGTATGCCACGTGTCATGACATAATAGGTCCAGGGTGGACGAATAAGTGTGTGCCACGTGGCAAGCCCTGAGAGGTCCAACTGGGGGACACTTGGCAGGACCTGATTGGCCCACGTGGCGCATTCCGATTGGTGGGAGCAAAATCCCCTAATCAAAAATGATACAGCTTAAACCTTTGGCAAACTTACTCGTAAGCACTACGTGGTTTTCACGCTTAAAACTCTCATTTTTCTTCGCTGCATTACTTCTATATTTATAGAATTCCTCAGCTAATAAAGTAGGGTTTAGCAAAATGATAAGTTCAAACAGAAATTCATTCTTATCATTTCAAAACCAAAATCAAACAGATTTAATTTTGTTTTTAGGAAAACCCTTTTTCTAATCAAATCCGATTTATTTAAAAGATAAAGTTTTATGAAAAAGATAAAACCGGGTAAATCAAATTTTAAAAGATAAAATCAAATAAAATAATTTTTCATAAACCTAAGTTTATCTTCTGCGAATTATTTAGTTTGCCAAGCTCTATCCGATTTCTAATAAGTTCTATGTATAACAACCAGATATATAATTACATCATCCTAGAAAAACAAACTTATCTTTAATACAACCTAAGTTATGAAGTCCATCTTTTTCGGATGATATCTCGAGCTCTGCTCTGATCCTTAGTTGTTGAGGTTTGCCCCAGCATTACACCGAAACCAAGTCATTACAACCCGTTGCGAAGTTCCTGTTGGAAACTCCTTGAAGTTTCATTTCTAGAACTCTTCTTCTGTATTTACTAATCATCCGGGACCTTCATTCTAAAGTTCCTCTACTTCAGTTCCTACTTCAACTCTTAGAGTCTACTAAACCTGCAAACTTCTCTAAGGTACTCTTTTGATGATTTTCTAGGAACTACTTAGCTTATCAATTGAGAGTGAGGGATATATAGCTTATCTGACTCCAGCTCCCCTCTTAAATTTAGGAGATTTTGAGGTTCTCTCTAAACACCCAACAGGTCTTACTATATTTGTATTAATGAAAATTTTATTAATATGATATATACTACCTCCGTTACAAGTTATGTACAATGATCGTTGCACATAATCTGTAACGGAGGTAGTATAATGTTATCTTCAATAGTTTTTTCATTATGGACCTAAAATTATTTAATAATAAAATTCGCACATAAAGCATGTTCATTATTTACTTTTTCTGGTCTAATTTATTTGTTCTTATTATTGTTTTTGATTTGATCAGTAATAAGATCTCGTGTAGTGCACCTTTTTTTATAATTTGAACTTATATGTTTTGATCCGGATTAATATGAACATATTTTTGCTAATCCGATTTGATTGTCTGATCCGATCAAAATTTAACCATATATGTATTGTAATCTATAAAGAAAAAAAGTAATCAAATGGTGTCTTGTTAAATTCGTAAAAATGTGTACTTTATTTTTTTTTTGTAATTTTCATAATATTTTTCATTACAAAATTAAAAATACTTAGCGATAAAAACCGCTCATAAAACAAAAAAGTATGTTATAAACATAGTTCCTCTAATCTAATACTCCCTCCGTTTTTAAATACTTGCTCCACTTTCCTTTTTCGGTCGTTTTTAAATACTTGCTCAATTTCCTTATTTGAAAAACTTTTACTATATTAATTAATTTCTCCCACCTAGTGAAACCACCATAATCATATTTAATTAAATTCATATTCTCTCCCCTCCAATTCTCCCCACTACTTTTATTTTTTACAATTTTTTATTCTTCCTTCTACCCCACTACCTCCATATTTTATTACTTTCTCCAATTTCTCCTTAAACTCCGCGCATGGAGAAATGGAGCAAGTATTTAAAAAAGAGGGAGTATGAAATAATTAATTTGATTCTAAAATAAAACAAGGACTAAGAACCTGTTCGCCTCAGCTTAATTTCAATTCAGTTTATTTCAACTCCAATCAATTCAGTTCATTCCAGTTCAACTTCTAATTTCCTTCTCATAAAATATTCATTTCAATTATATACAGTTCATTCCAGTTCAGTTCATCTCCTATCATTTCAATTCAGCTCCTATTAATGCAGTTCAACTCAGTAAATGTGAACAGATCCTAAGTTTATTATGCCACATATACTTGTATATTGTGTCAAAACTAGGGCTGGCAAACCCTGACCCGACACGAAAACCCGACCCGAAGTTAATGAGAGAGACCCGAACCCGACCTGAACCGAACCCGAACAACCCGAATTCGACCCGATTTGACCCAAATTTCATATTTCGTAATAATATTAAGTTTTACACTATTTTTAATAGTTTCTAAGCATAACCCGAAATCGACCCAAAATCTGACCCGAATTGCCACCCCTAGTCAAAACAAATAAATACTCCCATCCAAATTAGTTACGTCGCTTTCCTGTAAAATCATGAGCACTTAAATATTTTGTTTTTGTTTCGAAGGTGCTAGGCTCCGGAGGATTTGGGGTTGTGTACAAAGGAGAGTTCCCAAGGGGAGTACCAATTGCGGTCAAAGTTCTTAACAACAATACAAGTAAGACTGCTTCAGAACAATTTATGGCAGAAGTTGGCAGCATTGGGCTACCTACCATAGAAATTTAGTCAGGCTCTATGGCTTTTGTTCAAATAGCACCATGAGAGCTTTAATATACGAGTACATGGAGTTTGGGTCGCTCCATAAGTTGCTGTTCACTGAGATCAGAAAAACCATCGAATGGTCTAAGTTACATGACATTGCTATAGGAACTGCAAAGGGCATTGCATACTTGCATGAGGAGTGTCAAAAGAGGATTATTCATTACGATATTAAGCCCGGAAATGTGCTTCTTGACATTAATTTAAATCCAAAAGTGGCTGATTTCGGACTAGCAACACTTTGTAATCGTGATAGCACACATGTTATGTTATCCGGCTATAGAGGAACACCGGGTTATGCTGCTCCAGAATTGTGGACTCCTTACCCGGTTACCTATCGATGAGATGTGTACAGCTTTGGAATGCTACTCTTTGAGGTTATTGGGAGGAGAACAAACCATGACACTAATCTTAGTGGGTGTAGCCAAGAGTGGCTTCCAAGATGGACTTATGAAAAGTTTCACAAAGATGAGTTGTCAGATATGTTCTCTACTTGTGAAATTCAAGAAAAAGACAGCGAAAAGGCAGAGCGAATGGTGAAAGTTGCTCTATGGTGTGTCCAATACTTAACCCAAGGCTCGGCCAATTTTGAGCCTTGCGGTTAAATGGTTGGACGGAGGAATAGAAATTGATACACCCCCAGATCCGTTTGAGCATCTTCAAGACATGGAACTTGGAAGTAAAGACTATTCGAATGGATCATCATCAATTCAAAATAGTGATGAATCTCTTCCTCCACTTATAGCTTGGAATCACTCAATGGAACCAACAAGTCCTACAATGTGGGTTTCACTAGAAAACTTGGAGAAAGGAGCAAATACCTTATGAGGTAAAATGCATACTCGACAGTGGACACTAAACAATCTATGGATGACAAATGTATTATAATTTACTCGATGATATTTCATCGTCTTTTCGACACTAAACTTTCAAACCTTACTGTATTTTTCTGTTTGCTATACCTTATATCCCTATAATATATCCTACATTAGATTCAATATCTGAATAAAATGTGTGCCAATGTTTCATGAGTTGGATCTTAGATGTTGCTTTGATGATTGTGTAACGAGACTACTACAATTTCTGCCATTTCCAAGGGTATTCGGCCACGTTCTTTTGGACTGAATAGAGTTGAACTGAATTGAACATAAAAATAGAGATGAGTAAAACTGGACATCATGGAGATAAGCTAAATTAGTAAACTGTACAAAAATTCTGAAAAATAAGTTCAAAAGAATAGAGCCGAGGACTACAAGGGGCCAAAATATTAAGTTAACATTCTCCAAATGATCACAGATTAACAGCTCTAAGGATCTAGAACGAGAGTTGAAGGCACTATATTCGCGTCAAATCATTATTTGTACAAAATCAACACAATTGGAACAGAATCCAATTAAATTACCCAGTATGATTCCACTAATATGTAAATAATTTTTCGTTGTATGATACAAAAGGGTTGGTAGAGAAACAATGCACAGAAATCAGGTTAAACTTTTTAGTATCTCGCACGATTTACAACTATCCCTGGTAAAAATGAAAAATTACATATAACCAGAGAAATTATGTAAACTATGAGTGACTAGAATGACATTTGCTGAAGCTGGATCAATGTTGAAATCAATCAGCATGTTTCTTTTGACAAATTCAGTAGATCAGTGAATTCAATCCATCAAGTCCAAATTGGGAACATACCAACCTAACTGTTCTACAATTTTATTCATTCTCTCTTGCTGACCTTTTGAGTCCCCAAAAGCTGTGGTAAAGGGGTAGATGTACGTTACCTTGGTGGCCATACAGCGATAGGCTACAACATCTCCTTTCACCAGGAACTCCATCACATCTCGCCCAAATCCTCCATCAACAACAGCTCGAAGGTATTGTCCTGGGTGTCATGGTTCACTATTAGCTATAACTGTCTAAACTAAGGGGTTGAATTACTTCATTTTGTCAGTTCTCATTATTAGAACTAGCATGATGTAAAATAAGTATATCAGCCTTTTCCAATAAAAAGTCTGTAACATGTGCAGACATTGCTTCTCTTGCAAAGTTCTCAATCACAATCCAAATATGCTAATCCAATTAGATACATATAAGAGAGTAACCAAAAGATAAAATAAAAAACTATTTACAAAGACGAGGTAAATAGAATACTACGATTACCATTAGGTGTGTCTTCCACAACTCGTATTTCAGCATTTTTCTGTGTACTCAATATTGCTTCTTGCAATTTCTGCACCAGTTTTAAAAACAAAAAATTGTGAACTCTATGAGATGAGATTGGAACTCTGGGAGCACAGAATAAAATAGGATAAAAGATAACAAGCTGGTTTCTTCTTTACAAAACAAGCAAACTGATAGGAGTTATGACTAGCAGTTTCAATTTAAATTTAAATGAGCAGCACTTTCCATGAATGTGGTACATTCTGGCCTAAGGTAGCGAATCGCATACAAGTACAAGATGTACTAGTAATTTAGTTAACACTGGGAGTGAAGATTGGAATAGAACTACCTCCTCTCCTAAAATTTTCACTCCAAGCTTGGTCACGCCTACCAGTATAAGTATAAGATATGTTTTATAATATACTCCGGTGTTAGCTAAGTTCAGCTTTCATATAATCAATGGTGGTATACTAATATGATTGATATCTTGTTCGTCATCAGTTATAACAATTATTTTAGAGTAACATATTTCCAGAACTGCATGACCCCGATTCACTTTTATGAACTTCATAACCCTTAACTTATTTGCGTTATCTAAATATTTAGAAATTTCCTTAGCTTATTATATTCCTTAACTTATTCACCCTGTTTTAAATTTATTAAAACATACCTGAACTTTTCAGCATCATGTTCTGATAATCTGATTACTAAGCACTCAATAACCAAAAACTTTTACTTTTAATTTTAGAGTTATCTGGTCAATAAAATTGTTGTATGCTCCATAATTTCTTAGAGTTTCTATACAAAAAAATTAGAAAGATAAATCTTGAATTATACTTTCTACAATTCTTGCTTCTTAAAATCTATCCTGTTAAATAATTCCTTGACAACCAATTTCAGATCAATTGTAGACGAGCTGCAAGATGCACTTTAAATAATTGAACTCACTCAATCATGGATATTAGTTTATGTTCCAACATAAATAAGAGCATCATTCTACCCCTATGAGTCAATATAGCCATTAGTTTATAATTCTACCTATTTAACAAATCTTTATCCATTATCAACAACACTGACTCATTGATATTGAAGTTGCAAACTGTAAATTATGCTAATCGCTATGTCCTCAAAGGTATTGTTTCTGATCCTTTCAAGCATTATATCTTGCCACCATGCATGTCTAAGACCCTATCAGGCAACATATTCTAATAGAACTTTGATTGAGTCTAAACTTTACCAAATTAAACAAGTTCTTTCAATCTTACTAACTTTTCATTCCAAATTCTTTCCTAAATTATTGATTTGAATTACAAACCCCAAAATGGCTAAATGGTCATAACCCCATTAGTTGCCTCTAAAATGGAACGGATAGTAAAAAATGAGCAACAAAATAGTGTATGATACACATGCCACAACTAACCCTCAAATTGACCTCATCTCATTGAATATTGAATACCACACAATAAACTACTTGTATATTACTTCGTACAATCGATAAGAAAACAACAATAAACTAACCACATTATGACTACCTTTAACAATTCAAAATATTTCTGCTTCTATTTTCAATCCCAAATCATAAGAAATCATACCTGAACAGCATTTTCTGTAGAATCCAAGGGAATCTGCCATGGAAACTCAAAATTGGAAGATTTGGGGTTGGTAGTAACACACCCAGGATTAATGGAAGGGCAACCTCTTATTTTTCTGCAATTACAAAACTAATTATACCAAACAAAACAAAATTCAATCAAAATATAAAAATGGGAATGAGAGAATAAATCAATAATTAGTAAATTACCCATTTTCCAACCCAATAGGCAAGTTTTTGGACTGAGAAAAGGGAGTGGTAGGAGAAGGAAAAGGGGATGATTTAGAACTCAATGAAGGAAGAGCTAAAGAGGGTAATGGAGAACAAAGAGTGAAGGAGAGAGAAAGAGAGAGTGCCACTATATTGGTTAGAACACTGGGTTTCGAATTTTCGGTGGAAATTGCGGTGGTGGTGGTGGCAGAGGTGGGGTTGGGAGAGGTGGTGGTGGAGAGTGAGAGTTGAGGTTGAGGAGGTGGGAGTGGGAGAAGATGAGTTATTGAGTAGAAGCTCATCTTGGTCTTAATCTTTTGGGATTCTTGTGATTTTGTTGCATTATTAAGCGCCAATTTCAAGGATAATATGCGCTCAATTTACTGTTTAACATACACTAGGTGGTTGTTTGGTTGGAATTTTTGGAATAGATTGGATTGCAATGGAGTTACAATCTATTCCATCCATTTTGGTGTTTACTTAGACAAATCTAAACTTCTATATTTATTATTTAAAAACACAAATAGTGGCGGATCTTGGGCCAAAAAGTTTGGGAGCCAAGGTTTGATCCTCCAATATTTTGCTCAAAAATAACAATACTTAACCACTATGTCATAACTTTTTAAATGTATATTTCTCTAGTTTTTTTTACAGAGAGAGTGTTCTCTCTAGGGTTTATCTCTTGGGAAGGTTTCTACTTCTCTTATGAAGACTTTACCCATAGATCGGGCCTCTTTATCTCATCTCTTCCTTCTCTCTCATCCTTTTCTCTCTTTCTCCTCTCTTTGCGTTTTTTGGTGGTGGTCCAAAGGGGGGCTTGCCGGCGTTTGGGTTAAAACCCTTCTTTGTCGATGAGTCACCCATCCCTTTCTCTTCCTCGTTTTGGGCTACAGCCGACGTTTGAGTTTTACTAGTTTGGTCCTCTTGCTTTGCCGCAGATCGTTCTCCTTCTCCGACGATCTTCTAGTGCAGGTCTTCTTTTCGGGCTCCGGTTGTTTAGTGTTAAAACCTTGGTTTGATCATTTTGTTGTGGGCTTAAGGGGTTGGTTATGGCACTGTGCATCCACGTCCGATCAAGGAGGTTTTCGGATCCGGTGTTTTGGCTTGAGCGGTTCGATTGTAGTCTACTTCGTTGAAGATTTTATTTGGTTTGGTGTTGTTTTAGAGTCTTGTTTGTTTTTTGGTTTTTATTTGTTTGTGTGTCTTTTATTAATACTTGGTGTTTCATAAATAATTCACTTGTTTCCATGGATATTAATTAGTGTGTTGAAGATTTTGGGTTTCATAGTTCCTGTCAAAGTTGCGAAGAATGCGGGCGTATGTTTATCAGATTAATTTTGCATCAACAGATAGAATGCCGAAACATAATGAGCTCACAAAATCGTATTGCTTCAGATGAAGGGGATTTTTTTAAGGCTACTTTTTTAAAAATTTGTGATGTATTCAATTATGAAGATTCATGTATGTCTGTTAGTCTTCTGATATTGTCAGAAATTTTTGTAAGTGTCGTTAGGCATTATGATCAATGAAATCTTTTTCTTTCTGTCAAAAAATATTTTTAGACATTATATAATTACTTATAACCAACAACTTAGAAAAATTAAGGGGGGCTGAGCCCCGACCTGCCATAACAAAGGACCGCCTCGAATCATGCTTCCACGCCTCCCCAAGAAGCCATTTTTAAGAATTCGACGGGCCCGTAAAAAATGAGGGTCCTTCCCAAACAAAATCAGGGGAGGCAGCAACCCCCACCTTCACCGCCACGGCACGGGAGGATTCTTTTCGAACAAATTGGACAAAGGGATGACCCAGTCGAATCCACTGTTTAATATAGTATGCCCATCTCTGGATTCTGTCTTTCAAAGAGAGTCTCACACTAACCAACCAACTAAGATGGATTCAACTGGTTGTTTGGGTGCTAGAATTCCTTTCCATGCATGTTAAGGAAAAGCATAAAGATTATTTTCTGGAATGTGATGGGCTTCAACTGCTACATTTTAATATGTGGTCGCCTAGGTCACGAATCGCAAGCAAGACTATTTCGAGAAGCGCCTATCCACTATGAGATTAGATAGAATGTCCAGATAGCTCATCATAAAAATAGAAAGAAGCTCTTACAGAATTGAGATAGACTATCATGCCACATGGAAAATGTAAACTTTATTTTTCACCAATGTCACATGTCACCTCATTTAACCTTTCTTTTTTTAATCCCCTTTCTCATTTAAAAAAAAAGGGGAAATTCTACACTATACCCCTGAGGTGTTGGCTTTTCTAAGTTGTATCCCTCCCTTTGAAAAGTTCCATGCTCTAACCTCTAGGTCCCACAAGTGATTACAATGTAACACTACTATTATCCCTCCGTTACAACTTTCCGTTAGTTATATTTTTCCAACAAAGTAACGTTAGAATGGGTTAAGTATGGAGGGAAAATTTCCCTCCACAAGCATAGTACTCCACCCTCCTCCTTAAATTACCCTTCTTCTTCTTCTTCTTCTTCTTCTTCTTCTTCTCTATTTTCGAATTTCTTCGGCTAAGGTTAGTTTTTTTTTTTTTTTTTCAAATTTCTCATGCATGCACCATGTCAAGTTCTCGATCTTCTTTTCAATCCAAATCGAGTTATGCGCTTCAGTTTCCGGCTTTCCGCCTCCACATTGTTGTTGTAATACTCCTAAATTAGCGAAGATCAAGATATCAACAACCAATCGCAACCCAAGTAAAGCTTTCTTTAAGTGCAATGATTATGGTTTCTTCAAATAATTGGATGAAGGTGATATTCAATGACTGGGCAGTATGCAGACTAGTGACATTGCACAAGTTGTTGACAAATTAGCTGATTTGAGTAGAAACTTTAAGGATGCAGTTAACATAGGAGTTTTTATGTATATCATGTTAATGGTGATTATCTTGATTAAAGTTGGGTGATTTGATAGGATTGATGTAGTAGCAAAAAAAAATTTAGCATTATCATGTAACAACATTTGAAGCTATCCTATATGAAACTTATTGATATGATCTAAGAAATATTTGGGTTTTAATGTCAAATTATGCGCATCATTCATATTATACGATCCAATTAAGATAAGAAAATTAAAGGAGTACCATTTCATAGAATAAGATAATATCAGTTTCACCATTTGTTACACCCAAAAAATTATCACTTCAACATAATTACATAATAATCAATTCCAAAAAAATAACCCCTTGCTAATTAATTAAATGTTAATCAACCCAAAATGTAAACTCCATCACAGTAGAATTTGTTAAAAATTAACCCGAACAAAAAAAAAAACAATTTTATGCAAAAGACCATATGACATTCGAAAAAATCAGAGCATGGACAACCTCTTCAATATTTTCCTTCTTTTTGGGCTGATGTAGCCTTCCTCATTGTTTGTTGCTGCTGCAGTAATTGGTTCAGGTTAAGTGGAAGCTTCTGCGGGGAATGTTGCTTGTTTGCTTCTGGTTCTTGGATTGGTGGTTGAAGGAACGGGTTAGCTTGAGCTTGGATTGGTGGTTGAAGGTACAGGTTGGCTTGAGCAGGCTCTAAGAACATGTTGTGGGGTAGATGCTTGACTGACCATCATTTCAATCAGGTTCCCATCATCTTCATCTTGTGAGTTGTGATGCCTTGATCTCTTTCTTACCTTGAAAGCTTCTTTGGTCTTGAACAAACCTGATTTCTCTTACATTTCCTTCTTAGTAGGTCCACCTTTACAAGTCAAGGTGTTAAGTCCAAACTGCTTACAGTTCCCACATTGGACAGTTGAGAACCTCTTGCCTTTTCTTTGTTCACCCTCCTCTTTCCTCCTGTTCCTAGAAGGACTGCCTACACTTCTTTTCATAGTTGGGGGGGGGGGGGATCAGTTTAGGAACATCTAGGTCATGCCAATGTTGTGGATCAGGTATGGGCAAGATATTGCCTTTATAAGCTGCCTTGTATCTAGAAATAGAGTACCATTCACTAACAAAATCCAAAGGGTCTTTCCCAACATGAAGTATAGCTCTTACTCCATGCTTGCATGGAATTCCTTTAATTTGCCTCCTACCACATACACAACTCTCACACATTGTTTGGATAAAAGGAAATGGAAGGAAAAGAAAGGGAAGGGGACAAAATCTCTTGTTTGGGTAAAGGACGAGGGGAAGGAAGGGAAAGGAGAGGGAGGGATCCTTTTTCCTTATCTCTTTAATAAGCATAATACTTGCAAAATTGGAGAGATTTAGAGGAAAAATGGAGCTCACCTCCCCCCCCCCCCTTCTCTTTTCCCTTCCTCTTTTATCCCTCCCCTTCCTTTCCTTCCATGTTTCCCATCCAAACAAAGCATTAGTGTTTAGAGAAACAAGTTGCATGCTTCTCCCATCTGATATCTCATACTCTATCTCATACTCTCCCCTCCCTGATGGATATGCATGACAAAGTCTTGACTCCCTTCTTACAACTCTAACTATTTCCCTAATGTTTGGACACACTCCCTCTTCCTTCCATTGCTCTGATAGTTGTTGTCTTGTTGGATGTCTGACCATAGCAATTCTTCTGACACCTGTACATATATAGAAACTTTAATTGAACATACAAAATTGTAAACCAAACTCCATTGAGTTAAAGTTAGTATTTTTTTTGTACCTTCTAGTAAAGTTAAAATAGGGTATGTCTTGTCAACTCCTATGGTACTATTGAAGCTCTCCACAAAGTTGTTGGTGTTCTCATCACAGCGTAAGTTTTGGTCAAACTTAAATTTTGTCCATCTCTATAGTGGGCCCAAGTCTTTGAACCATTTATCTGATCCAAGTCATTGCATGCAGCTTTCTGAACTTGTCAGAGAGCTTTTTTGAAACTAAATGCTGAATATGCATTAGTCATAGCCCAGAAGAGTTTGTGCATGACCACACCAGGATACCCAGTCTTGAAGTTCTTGGATAGATGCCTTGCACAATACCTTCTGTCACAAGTTGGCCAAATTTGATCCAATGATGGATCAATTCCCTTGACATATATAAGAAAAAAGGACAGCTAGTAAACAAGTATTCAAGTCATGGTAAAATGCAAATGAGAGTTAGTAGAAACACCTTATACCTATCACTCATTATTGTCAAGTCATCTCTTCCTATCTAAGTGAGTATGTTCTTCAAATGAGTAAAGAACCAACTCTGGCTACTTTTATTCTTTAAGTCAATCACTACTACTGCAAGAGGGAATATCTCATTATTCCCAGGTAATGAGACAGCAGAGAGTAGTACTCCACAATAGTTGCCTTTCAAGTGGCAACCATTCACACATACTAAGCCCCCTACAACCATTTATGACCTCATTGAACTGAGCAGCAAAACTTATGAATATGCATCAGAATTGAAGAACTCTCTCAGATTGTTGTAGTGTTTTCCACAAGCAAAATGCTATAGAACCTTGGTTTCTGTCCTTAATCATCTCACAATATCCAGGTAGCTCCCCATAGGAATCATCGTGTCCACCTTGTATCATTTCCTTAGCCAAACCCTTCATCTTGTATAAGCTTGAACGTGCCATTCTCACACCAAGCAAATTTCTCCCAAAGTAGGTTATTCAGTGCTTTACCTCTAATGTCAGGTGTAACCCAGGGTATGTTGGCAACTTAACTTCACTCTTTTTAAACTCCTCACACATCTCATTAAGCACATCATTTAACAAACATCTATCTATATCATCAACCTTTACACGAACACACTTAGCACGATAATGAATTTTAAGAACTCTCTCATCCATCTGCAATATACAACATGCAAGAACTCTTAAAACACTAACAATTACGAAGCACTACAACAACCAAATACAATAATTACCTTCTTATCTCAAACACGCAATCAAACATGGATTATAACCCCACCCCCAAAATTTTTTCATGTAAACCATTAATTCAAACACATCTATAGCTATTTTCAACAAATTACAACATCTAAAGCCTAAATTTATGCATAATTCAACAATTAAAAAAAGGGGAAATCAGGGATGCAATGGGTTACCTTTGACAATCCTTTTATGCAGAAATGACCAGAACCTTCACCCACTTTATCTCCAACCAAATGGTGATTTCGCTCTTCATATTTTTTCCCAGCAAAATTTCTCAACGTGCAAATCACTCTTAGAATTTAGGGTTTTTGATCAGAAACAAGTGAGGTCATGAATGAATGAATGAAACACGGAGACTCGGGGGGGGGGGGACTTAAATGGAAATAGAGGGAAAGTACAAAAGTTAAATGGCGGCATTAACTATCTCTAACGTCCGTCATTTATGGTGACTAAGTAATGTTACAACGTAATCACCTGTGGGACCATGAGGTTATAGCGTGAAACTTTTTAAAGGGAGGAACACAACTTGGAAAAGCCAACACCTCAGGAGTATAGTGTAGAATTTCCAAAAAAAAAAAAAAACACTACCTTTAATTCAATACATATATGAATGTTGTTTGTTCGTTTACTCTCCCCCAACTTATTAATATCTTCTATTTCAGAAAAATAAAAAAGAAAAGAAAAAAGCTTGGGAAATTCTCTTTGGTAAACCTCTAATTTTTACTTTTCTCAGTGGTAAATTGCAAAAATTCTTATTATCTTTGGTGAATCTAAATTATTGGTTACCATTGATAAGTGTTATTGTAATAAAAATTCTTAACTATAGTTAGTTTTTATTTTTTTTAATAATTAAATTATTATAAAAATATTTTATTTTAAAATAATAAAATCAAACCGGCCCTTCCCCCACCCAACCTAGCCACCAGCAGCCCCTCCCCCTGCCGGCGGCCAGGCCTCAGCCAAAGTCGCCCGACCTCCCCCCCTCATTCGGCGACGCCCAACATCCTCCGCCCCACCTTCTCTCTTTCCCCGCATCTTGAAACGTCCCATCTCACCACCTAACGGCCACCGCTGACCGCAACACTAACCAACCAGAAATCTAACCTCCTTCTCCGACGACTCCCCTCCCCTTTTCGCGCGGCCCAGGAACCTTTAACCCCACCCAAAACCACCCGAAAACCAAACCCATTTTCTAGGTTTAATTTGGATTCAATACCTAAATGGGTTTGGGCTTTTTGTGTTTTTGGGTGGGGTTTAGGATTTCGGGGCCAACGAACAAGGGAGAGGGGTCGTCGGGGAAGAGGGAAGATTTTCTGGGTGGTTAGTGCGGTCGGGGAAATGGTACATGTTGAGATGCGGGGAAAGAGAGAAGGTGGAACGGGGGAGGCTATTGCCGGTTGGGCTTGGGGGAGGTTGGGCGTCCCCAGGTGGGTGGGAGAGGACGACGCACCGACGATGGTGGGTTGGGCACCGGCCGTGGGTAGGGGTGACGGAGAGTTAGAGGAATTGGTGATCTTGATGATGATGATGAGTTAAGTGAGGATATTTTAGGAATTTTTTTTATTTAAAAAAAATGTTAACCATGGTTAAATATTAACTAAATTGCTTCACTAAGTTCACCATTGAAAAAATATAACAAATTAAAGTTTACCAAGGATAATAAGAATTTTTGCAATTTACCACTAAGAAAAGTAAAAATTAGAGGTTTACCAAAGAGAATTATATCCTTCTACAATTACATTTAATATTCATCCTTTATTCTCCTTTATAAACTATTCATTTTTCCAATTAAAACATATTATAAAATAAAAATTATATTGTATATCTATTAACAACCCGTGCATTGCACTGGTCAAAAGGCTAGTTTAGTATTTTAAAACACAAACAACAAATCATTTAGGGTTCGTTTGTCATTGCTGTAGTTTTCTATTTTTTGGTTTTTTTGTTTTTTAAAAGTATATGATATGTGTCATATAATGAATAAAAAATTATTAAAACTTAGTAAAATCATGAAAATTTTGAAAACTGACAACAGAAAAGTGGAAACACATTTTTCTTGTTTCCTGTTTTTAGTTTTCAAAAAAACAGAAAACTGAAAATAAAAAATGATGTCAAACAAGCCCTTATATGCTACATGTAACACCCCCGATTTACTAACTGAAAATAAACAAGAATTAAAGGAAATATAAACAACCTTTAAATAAAATTGCGAAAGTATACACCTAAATCGGAGGTATCACCGACACACTTAACAACCTGTCGAGTGTTAAGGCTTACAAATCAATAAATACAACCCAATAAATTTAGGTGAGCTATTTATACAACTTTACAAACTGGTTACAACATACTAACAAAACACTTGATCTCCTTTAGCTACAATCACTTGATCAATCTGCTTAAATAATCTTGACTGCTCACCATTAAGGACAAATTCCAAAATAGATCGTCGCAGGACCACCATAAGAAAAAGACATGGCTGCAAACAAAAGTAGCACAACAAAATAACACACACGTCAGCAAAAGCTGGGGAATCACCACATATCAGAATATAGAGTATAATATAATAATTAACATTATTAGATCAATTAAACAATTTAGTTCGAAACTACATTACACACTGTACTCTGAAAATAACCTTTAACAACTCAACCTCGAATAACAATAATCCTTTACTCAACTCATAACCAATAGTGTGCCATGCTCTTTGCTCTATACCTATCCTTGGACATGGGTAATTCGAACAAATAAACCAACAAGTATAAAAACTTGAATACTCCCAATAATTAGAAAACACCTTGAACCAGACCACATACGGGTCAATTCCCACTGTAGGGGACCATAGAAAAATAAATAAAGATTGTACCTCATTCTTAACTCATGATCATTATCTCATTACCAACATACTAAGGACTAGATCTATAACGCTGAGCCTCGAACCAAGAACAAAATAATCATTCTCAATCTTTTGATCTCATACATCGATCAAATAACCATTCACAAATTAATAAATTAAATAATATCTCAACAGTGGCATGTGTTCCCAAATAATACAACAATTCAAACTCGATTAAATCATAGCATATCTCAACTCTTATAGGACAATCAAACTAGTACCAAATTTAATCAAATCTCAACCCAAAAATAATACTATGCATTAACAACCCTAAAACCTCGATAAAACAATACTCCCTATAACAACAACATTAAAAACCCTAACATAAATAACACAATCAATTAATACGACAACAAAATCATTTAATACAACACTTTAATCAAATATATATAAATCTTGATCATACAAATAAATCATAAAATTTACATATAAAAATACAAAATATAATCAATACAAACAATAATTAATGATTAAATAAACAACTCCAAGGATCAAGATTCCTGTGATTACATATAATAATACAATTAAATTAAACAAACATCTCAAAAGAAGTTTGTGTGATTACCTATTGTTTTTTTTTAGCCAAATACTTGTGCGACCAAACTCAGAGTGCTAATTACACCATGTTCACAAAGACCCAAAAAAAAAATTACTCGCATGGACGAACTTGATGAAGCTTGGTCAATTGCAAATTTCACATTGGAAAGTGGGAGAATATATAGATTTAAAGGATGAGTAAAATAATTATCATAGATTCACAGTCTCATCATCATATTAGTTTGGTTTAGCAATCTCAAGCAAAAGTGAAGGAACGTAATAAAACGCCTTCGTATACAACAACTCTTGACAAGAATCAATCTTTTGGGTTTGGCTAATGAATCCCACGCACAAAGGAATTTAAATATCAAAACTTAGTATTCGGGTTAAAATAGTTTATATACGCTTAGAAAAATAAAGAGTCATATTTAAATTAAAATAGGGTTTAAAACCTTTCCGAACTCTAAAATAAAAATATGAGATTAGAAAAGTTATATAATAAATAAAAATAAACTATATTTTTTATGAAATATATTATATAAAATCATAAAATATTCTGGTATTACACTACATGTCATCACAAATCACCCATATGCTACATATGTCACCTCCCTTAATCTTTCCTTTTTTATATTTCCTTTTTTAGTATAAAAATTAAAATAAATATATTATACTTCCTCCGCTTCTATTTACTTGACCTATAGCCTTTTGGCATGCAAATTTAAGAAAGAGATTAAAGAAGATTAACATAAGATATATATAAAAAAAAATTAATACCATGAAACCCCAATTCATCCCTTTTATTGGTGGTTTTATTTTTTTGTATTAAAAATATCGTTTGTCTTCTTTAATTAACTCCTTAAATTGCGTGCTATAGGACTAGAGGTCAAGTAAATTGAAATGGGGTAAGTATAATTTTAAAGTCTTTATGCATTCCGAAAACTTGCAAATTTAAGTATGAAAATGAAGTGTTTCATTTTCACCATAATAAAATAAACTTGAACTAATTAGTACACATTACATAAACACATGAAATATAATAAAAATAGTCTTTTTATCTCTTAAACTAAAAGTATAACTTAAACTAATTTGTCATTTCATATCCCACAGTATTCATGTATATCCCTAACTAAATTCCTTCATCAATCTTCTTCCACAGTTCCACCATCACTCTCTTTTTTTCCTTCAAGTTTTAGCAGTGAATTTCATTCACCTCCATGGTCATGAAACACTTTCAATGAAACAATTACTTTGTGTTTTATATTAATAGTTTCAACTTTTGAAATGCATACATATATATGAAAATAACCTCAGCAATAACTCATGCATTAGGGCTAAAAGGCTAGTTTTAGGTATGGAATCTCATACCAAGGGATTCTAATTCCACCCCATCCCCATAGAATCTCATCTCCCTAGAATTTCATACTTCCTCCGTTCTTTTTTACTTGACCCGCTTTGACTTTTACACTATTCACCACCCTCCTTTGATCGTGTTTTGTGAATAATATGTAAGGAAAAACATATTTATGTTGATCATTTTGAATTCGTCTCAATAAGAACTATCATAATATATAACTTTTATATTTTTTAATTATGGAGAATTAAAGTTATTAATCGTTAAAGTTTTGCATTGCCAAGCGTGATAAAAGAAATAGGTCAAGTAAAAAAGAACAGAGGAAGTATTAAATAATAAACCAAACAAGTTTAGACAATGCAAGTATGGGGTTTAGAATCCATACCTCCCTAGTAGAGCTGATCAAAGTGAGCCCGAAGCGATCTGGGCCGGTTTTGCGTAGAATTTTCTGGCTTGGCCGATTTTTAAAAAAATTTAGGCAGGCTTGGAAATATGATTTTATGCACTTTTAGTTGTTTTTTTTTCCCGCCCCGAAAAGCCTACATGGCCCGGCTAGTTTGGCGGGTTTATGCACATAATTTTTGGTCCGATCCGAGAAATAGGTTGATTGTTTTGGCCTCGGTCTGGCCCACCCAATGATCACCTTTACTCCCTACTATGATATTTCATACCACTTTATTCCAATTTAACAAACCAAACGACCCCTAAATAATTCCCAAGCCATGCTTGAATTTTTAATCAATACATATATAAATAAATTAAATTTACTAAATATAGATTTGTAATCTATTATTTAAAATATTTGGCATAAGAATTATTAGGCAATTCTATAATGAAATAGTTTGTACAATCTTAAGATAAACAATTTGGTGTATTCAATTGTTGGTATTTGGTAGATGATGAAAAAAAACATATATATACAGTGATACAAACAAAAAAAAAAAAAAGAAAAAAAAAACTTTTAAGTTCATAGGATATAATGTCATCATAAATAATTTTGGAAAATTTAACATAAGTTTATTTCCAATATGTACCAACTTAAATTTCCATGATTACTGTGAAATATGAGAAACTAACTCGTTATTTAGGGACTGAGTGAGGAAGTATTATTGTGTCATTCTAGTTTAACATACAAGTTTATTTTTATTTTTTAAAAAATAATAAAAATACATTAGGTCTTGTGCCATGTAGGGTTATTACATTACATTTAGTCAATAAAAGAAATAAAAATTGTATCAAAAATAACATAGATAAAATACAGCTATAACATATTTATTATCTTTTTATTTTGCGTACATAACGAAATGAAATATGAAATATAACGAAAGAGTCTATTAGACAAATAAGTATATTAAAAGGATCTAAAACTTCATGTTAGACCATGTGAGTGTTTTAAAAA